AAAGTAATTTCTTTGCTAATGAAAATGTTCTTTGTCTGATTTTCAACAAATTGGGATTTTGTTGTTGAGAAAAAAGAAGACTTATAATTTTTATTTTCCACAAAAACTTTTTGCTACCGTTTATGTATATATAATATATTATTTAATTTCTTTAAATATATATTTTTCTCTTTTTTCAAAGTGTTTCTTACACACGCACAGACGACGAATGAATGAGTGAATGATAATAGTCACACGGAATAGACGCTATACCGTTTCTCCTCGGGTAAAACTAAAAGATGACGCGATAGTTAGCATTTGCGAGTTGTGTCAACACTTTTGACATTTCGAAATGGCTTCGAATCGGACCACTTTTAGTACATACGTACAATCGTAATGGCTCGTTCTCATGTTACAATCGGAAACATTCGCATAATTCTTTTCTTCTATGCCTTATTTTCAAATGCATTTTTTTTCTTAAATAAAATGCTTTGGTAAAAATAAAATCAAATCGAAATAAATTGCATTTGTTTTTTTTTCTCGACATTCACTTTAATATTCATAACGGAAATATTAGCTTAGTATTGTAACTGGTTCATAACCTTAATTTCGAAAAGCATCAATTACGAACAGTCACTCGAAACGTATTAGTGTAAACATTTTAAGACGTTTGATTTTAATTGCTGTTTTCATACAAATTTTCTTGTTTTTTTTTAATCATGGACAACGAATTTAAAGTACCCTTTTCAATTGAGCCGAAATCAAAAGCGGTGGCAAAGAAAGCTGAAACCATCGATACCGTTGAGCCAAAAGAAGAAACAGCAACACCAGCCGTGGCAGCGACAGAAGAACCAGAAAGCGCGAAAGTCGAATCAAATCCGGTAAAAACACCAGCACCGAAATGCCCTTACGTGGAGCCAAAATGGTCACAGGCACCCGACTCCAGTTTGACATACGGTTTTGAAGTGCTAAAAAGCGGTCAAATCGTTGAAGAGATCAAACATTTACAAACAAAAGCATTTTGGACCATCGGAAAACTACCGAATAATGGTATTGTTATGGCTCATCCGACGATTTCAAGATATCATGCGGTGTTGCAGTACCGACCCGAAGTGGTTAACAAAGCCAACAATGACAGCAATAACAGTGACGACGACGATGATGGCGATAATTTAAACGCAATGGATTCAACAGTGCAAAAGCCAAAAATCGAAAAAGGCTGGTATTTGTACGATTTGAACAGTACGCACGGTTCGTTTGTGAACAAAATGAAAGTACCGCCAAAAACGTATGTTCGTCTTCGAGTTGGTTATATGCTGAAATTCGGAGCAAGCACACGCAACTATATTTTGCAAGGGCCTGGTTTTGATGAAGAAGCGGAATCAGAATTGACAATCACCGAAATGAAAGAGCTAAAATTGAAAAAAATCCAAGAAGAACAACAAAAACGCGAGGAAGAGGAGAAAAAGAAAGAAGAGGCGGGTATTAGCTGGGGAATGACTGAAGATGCCGATGAGGAAACTGATCTCTCACACAATCCATTCGCGTCAACCAATAACGAAGAGCTGTTTTTGCAAGATCCAAAGAAAACATTGCGTGGATTTTTCGAACGCGAAGGTCTCAATTTGGATTACAAAGTCGATGAAGTGTCAAATGGCACATACACATGCAGGTTAGTTAAAATTCATGTAGATTTCTTTTCAAATCAAATCTAATTTCATCACTATTTCTGCTCATAATTTCAGAGTCGAACTCCCTATAACTGACTCAATTGGCCGAAGCATTACTGCCGAATTCACACATAAAGGCAAGAAAAAGGAATGCGTTTTGCAGTGTGCATTGGAAGCGTGTCGAATTCTGGATCGAAACGACTTACTGCGACAAGCCAAACATGAGCCACGAAAACGTAAAGTCGAATCGTCCGATGACGACGATGATGAATTCTACGACCGAACCACAGAGGCTGAAGAGAAACGCCGACGAAAGGCAGGCTCTGAAGAAAGCGTTACATTATCATATGAGCAACTGGTTGGTTCTACTTCAAGAAATGCAAAATATTCCATATTTATTCAAAAATTTACATAGAAATTTGAATATTTTGTCAATAACATTTTAGTTGGAGGAAGAGAAAAAAATGCAGACACAACTGGAAGACACAGAGAAGCGAATCGAACGGTATCAACAGATGGAGAAAGCATCAAAAGAAAAAGACGCAATGGATGTGGACGATTTGGATGATTTCATGTCCGGGCTATCTAGTGAAAAACAAATGGATAAAGCTGATGTTCGAAAATGCAAAGTAAGACTAATCTAAAACATATCTGTGCTCATCATCATTTCTAACGAAATCATTTCTTTTCTCTTTAGTTTGAACTGCTGCGCATAAAGGCCGACATTCAAAAAGTGAAGAAACTCATCAACATAGCGCGACCAATAGACTTGCCACCGCTGAAAAGTGATGTGACAAAATCAGATGGGTTACAGGCGAAAAAGAAATTTGAGCTTCCACTGTTTGGCAAAAAGAAAACGTTCGGTTTCGACAGGCTGAAACAACAAGCTACGACCACGAAACAGAAAAAACCAAGTGGAAACAAAGTTGACGAAGGTGAAAAAATAGAAGAGTTTGATGAAGATGAAAATGATACGAAACCATCTAAGCAAACCACTAAGAGTGTGTGTGAAGGGGCAGCAAATGAAATTGCTATTGCCGAAGCACCAAAGGTAGCAACGAACTGTGATGAAGAAATAAAAAAGTCTGCCGATGCGACAACGACTGAGGAGTCCCCCGAGACAAAAGAGCGACAAATAATAGATGAGAAAAAATTATCACCATCCAAAATTAGTAGTGACACTGACCATCACAAGCCTACTCCGAGTCAACCACTACACTGCACTGTGGAACGGATGGCGAAAAACGATCCGCAACCGCCGGCTAGTAGTACCAAAAATAGAAACAAAAATCGGAGTCGCAATAAAGCACGTCAACAAATTGATATTGATGACACCGAAGAAGACACATCTCCACAGAAATATTCCGGCTGGGTTCCACCTTCGGATCAAAAAGGTGACGGTATTACTGACTTGAATTCAAAATACGGCTACTAAGAGTCACCTTCATTCTAATTAATTATGCATTTGCAAATCAGACGTGTTACTCGATTGATGTTTTTGTTTTTGTTGTTTTTTACATCTAGGCCATAAGCAGAAGAACGAAAAAAATAATTATGAAAATGTGCAGAAAATATATGCCAAATCATGTCCAATGTAAGAGTTTGTTGTTTTTTAATTAAACTAGCTAAGGGTTCTCATTCACGCGTAATAAAGAGTGAAAGTCCCAAATAATCCAATGACATATTTCATTCCATGAACTCACAATGAATATTTCTAAAAATAGCACTGAGGATTGAGTATGCGATTCGCATAATTCGAAAATGACTGTCTTGGCTAAAGTGCGTAGTAGCGCGAATCGATAGCTGTAGAAAGTGAAATTGTTCGGTTTTTGTGTTGATTCCTCCTTTTTTGTTCTATTCTGTTTGGTTCCTCGCTTCACATAATAGCTTTGGGATTGAGCCTTGCTACCGTTGCTGGAAAAAGCAGTGTGTTCCCATCGTGAATTTGATCATTCGTCGTCGTCGTCGTCGTTGTTGTTATATTGTCTGCGCGATTCATCAGCTAACATTCCATACTCGAAACTATATGTTTGCTGCAACTGAATAAAAATCATCAAAAGAAAATCGAATTGCAAATAATACGATTTCATTGTAGCACACGACCTCACAAACGTGTGTGAGTATGAGTTTCGAATTCATTGACAAACTGTTTCGAGTATGAATCGTTTGTGTGTAATCAAAAGCCATGATTGCTTTCTTTCTTTCTTTATTCGTATGCTGTCCTCTTTCCATGGGAAAACTTGTAAGCTCGTTTTGCGTTTAACATATTCTTTTCATTCGCTTTTTGTTGCTGTTCCTTACTGTGTTAAACATTATCTCTCCATATATATCTCACTATGTTTGCTCTTTCCCTCTAACCCTCTGTATGCCCCATGGTGTTCTGCATCGAAAGTGGGAGTTTTATTGTATATACCATTATGGCCACAGTACACATTTATCAGACCAATAGAAACGGTTTTACGTCACAAAACATTTTTTTTCTTCGGATCAATATTTCCCCTGTGTACCCCATACACAGTCTCATACTTGTGCACGCACCGTTGAATGTGTGTGTGCAGCATGGAAATCGCTTTTCCTTTGCTTTTAGTCTCATTTTCACCTTTAACGCAGCTAGGTCGTCGACCAAAAGCGCATATTCCTTCAACCGAAGACAGTTGAAATCGAGAAAAAAATAAATTAACGGTTAAAAAAAATACACGATACGACAATAGCTTTCCTAATATTCTACAACCTCAATAATATTCCGTTGATAATAACGAAAGAAAATTTTAAACTGATTTTGTGTTTGTTATCATAAAATAACGAAAATAATAACAAAGTTACACCAGCTATTCGACTAAACAGCATCATTGAATTCAAGCGAAAATCAACAAATACTCGTAAAATTCGCATTATCGAGGCAAAACGCGAACAGTATAAATTCACCTTTCTCTCTGGTAAAACAATAAATTTGAGATCAATTTAAATGCTTGAAAGAAGCCACTTTCAAGCTAAGCGCTTAGCAATCGCACATGTGTCGGCTACATTTTAGAACAAGAAACAGTCCCTCACAAAAAACATCCTTGCGTTGGGGAGATAGCTGTTTCATCAGTACCAATACCACCAATATCAACATCATTCATTGATGGTTTTTCTTCTGCCAGAGACCGTGAATTGTGAGTGTTGTTGTGTTAGCGTGTAATCATCCATTCAACGAAGTTCGATCAAATGCGAACGCAATCTTGCTCAGTTGCGGCGATAACAACATCAACTACATCATTTCTCCAGGAGCAGATCATTGCCTAGATACAAGAACAAGGGAGAGAATCGAGAACATCTCTGGAACGTTGCATGATCTAAACATTACAAGAATATCCTTCCGATTATTTATGGTTGAACACTGATTTTCTATTCCACTGAACGAATTGCTTAAGAACGATCAGTCAATTGATACGTCGAACATCGATAACAATTTTACACCTTTTGGAACGAATCACATTTACAAATGCCTATTTCCATTTGATGAAAACAACAAGTGTACAGTGTTGATATTTATCATTCGCGAGGTGATTAATTTCGAGAAAACTTATTCAAAACCTAGTAAATATCAAAAATAGAACTCTATTTCTCTATCTATCTGACATCCAACATGTAATAAAAACGAAGAAAAAAACACCATAAAAAAAAGAATTTTGAACTAATCATAAAAATGAAAATGGTTTAGAGAAAGAGAGAGAGAGAGAGAAAAAAGGATTTTCGCTTTGGAATTCAATCAAAAAATCATCCAACCATATTACTATTAACTCCCGACTATCGGCAGTGTGTATAGCTTTTCAATATCGATTCGGTGAGTATAGAGAGATATTTGTATGTTTTGATTTCGATTTGTTGGTGATTACGTAACACACAAGAAGCAAATAGCAAACATCAGACCATTCGTTCAAAATGAAATGAAACGACCGAAAAATGAAAGCTTCAATTCCATTTTGCCATTTCCACCTGAATTATTTACATCAAGCAGCGATTAATGTCGTTTGCATTAAGACACGAGTCATAGATTAATATGCAATATTCTATATCTATCTTTGTCCGGATCACTGTATATTTTGAATTTTATTAAATGTCTTTTCGCTGTCTCGGCGAATTTAATCGAGATTGCGCGAACAATTTGCCATTCAACGATCGGCATTCGATTCGACGGGTATTGTTCATGTGTTCGGCGCGCGGTACCTACACGTAATACCAATTTTGGAATTTTCGGCCAATGTTAACATGGCTGCTTCTGCTGCTACTGTATAACAGTAAATAAACTCTGTCATGTTAATTGGAGCAGCGCACAGACAACTGTAATACTATCCGCTTAATCGTAATCGTGAAACCTACATATACCTGCCACAAACACTGACACACACAGACACACACACACACACAATACTAAGAGGAATGCCATTAAAAGCATTTTACATGCTGAAAAATGAATGGAGAACTGGATAATACATACTAAGTACACTTTTCATCTCGAATAAATGGTGGCGCTTCTGCGCATGCCGCTAGTTACATATTTTTGAGGCCAATACGTTACATTTCCATTACATTGGCAAAGGGCTCTTCAGTGCTATATTCTTGTATTCTTCTTTCTCTCTTAATATAACATGCTTCATCACCGACAAAATGGTGTGTATAAACGTATTTCCAGTCGAAGCTTGAAAATAATGGGAGAGAAATGTGTGTCTAATTTCAATTTTGTTTCAAGCTTTCTAAGTTCTCAAGAGTGAAACAACTCTAATCATGATCCTGATGACATCGTAATATCAACAAATGAACGAATGAACAAATGAACACGCTGTGAGTGTATTCGCTATCTCATTTTCCCATGACACACAGCACAGCCTCCCATTATCTCAATCGATTCATATATTTTTCATAAAATCAAGATTTGTTTGAAAAACTTCTGACTATTTTCTGATTTCAATGAAAAGCAGCACAAGCAGTTGGTCGCAAATCAATACTATCAAAAGAAAAACGAATGATGAACGAAGAAAACCGAAATGTTGCTGAATAAAAAAGTTCTTTCCTAAGAAGAAGATCTATTATCCGATCCTTTCCGACCAACGCACTGTGTGATGGGCTGGCCAAGAAGCTTTCTTTCCAATGAACAACGACATTCCAATGGCAATGATGATGATGACATTACAAGCAACGCGCTCGTAATGTGTATGTGCTTGTGTATGTTTTATATTCTGTTGAGTGAGTGAGTGAGTGAGTACTGAGCAGCGCGTTGGTTGGTGTGGTGTATTCGTGTCGGAACTTTCAATGTTGTTTCTCTTCGTACCAAAATTATTAATCAATAAAAACATATGTATATCATCGCATATTCGTCCGTCGAACGCTCCATGTCTGAAGCTTTCTTACGCACACGGCTCTCTCTCTCTCGATCTCTCTCTCTCTCTCTCTCTGGGTTTTCCGTTCACTTTGTGATGGCAAAACCAATGTGACAACTTGAATTTGAGATCGGGGGTGGTTTTTTTTTCTGTGGTATCTACATAATAAAGTACAATATCATGCCCTTTACCATCCACAATCATTTGAAATGGGTAATAATGTTGTTAGTGTGCGTGTTTTTCCTTTCTTTCTTTGTCATTCTCCAAGTGGAATTTATTGAGTTTGTCTTTTTTTCTTCATTTTATGCATAATTTACAAAGATTTGTGAACTATTAGCATTTTTGGTTGAGCTTTTGTTGGTCTAAAGCCAACTTTTCACACGGATACACACTCACTTACTCACACACATACAGACGGACGCTATATCACAAAGAGAGGGAGAGAGACACACATAACGTGAATATACCCACCTGAATGTCATAATCTTTACATAGACATGTGAAAGTCGATACCAATTCGGAATGTTAGCATTGGATCGTATGTTGGCGGTGAATTTGAAGACATGCATTTGTGCGTGACAAGCGAAATTTTGTTATTCCATTCTCTTGTTTTTTCTTCGTCGCTTCGATTTTTTTTGTTTCACGTCTTTCCTTTTTTGTTTTGATAAGCTCTTCTATACATTGGATTCGAACGAAGCTTTTTTACTCGATAATACAGGCTACATTTAAAAATAAACACATTCATCAATTATTCATCCTTGCAGCATTGAATTTGACGGAATGAGACAGCGATCGAGGCACACACATACACATAATAGAGAACTCAAACCATCATTGACCAATTGCTTTCGTTATTCGTTTTTTTAAACACCGAGCGCAGAGGTCATGCCGAGAATGTAAATGTTATGTGTTATGATTACCATAGAAAAAAAAATCAATGCGCACAAAGCCGAAACGAAAAGCCAAAAAAAACCGCCCCCATCCACTCTACCAAACACACATTTACACTATCGCTTGCGCAACGGCTAATATCATCTTCATTGGGAAATTCTGTAAATTTGCCAGAAATAACAATGTTATACTTCAACCCGTATCAAATCACACTCGATTTCGCTACCTACAGCAACTCAATAATGGTTTTTCTTCTTATTTGGTTAAATTTAATGCTGTCGATTGCTCGTTTGCCATTGCCGCAAAAAAATTTGCACAATAATCGCGTCTAAATCAACGCACTAAATCATTTAGCCGTCGAATGTCATTCGACGATGACGACGATGAAAACTGCTCCAAAGCGGCAACGACGATGACGTTGAACGAAAAAAAAAACTATTTGCGTGCGTAGAAAATGTCGGATAGTAAACATAAAGCGAGAGAGGGAGCAAGAGAGCGCAAAATGAGTGTGATGGGATAATGAACGTTGTCGTAGCAAACACATTAAGTGGAAATCGATGGCGCATCAGACGAAAATAACCATATACCGTTAAGACATTTTCACCGGGCAGATTCTATACACAAATTTGGAATGTGTAGTGTGTTACACGTCGTATACAGCGAGAAAGAGAGAGAGAGAGAGAGAGAGAGAGAGAGAGAGAATGACACTACGATAAAACAAATTTAAAGCTCGATAGATAAACCGATGTCACAGCTATTAATTAGTTCCAATGGTAACAATTCCAATTCACTTTGTCCACAAACATATTGTTTTGATCTGAAATAAATTGATGTGAAATTAACGTAACGTCGTCATAACTCATTTAAGATGCTATTTTTAGTGAGTAATAATAAAAATGCGTTTCAATTTGGCTAGTGGTTTTTTATCTTCCTCTCGTCGACGATTCAATTAATTTTAGTTGATCAAATAGTGATGACATTGGTTTTAATGACCAAAGTAATGAACAAACTTTTCCGTTAAATACTATATACATGTTTACATTTGTTAACGGTGTAGAGTCAAGAATTTATAATTGAAATTGAATACACGTGAAATGGAGAAGTAAAGGACAGAATCATAGCGACCGCTGTTTCGAAAATGACTTAATAAAGCTGGTTTATTTTTCTGTTCAAAGCCCACGGCAAAGATGAATCTTTGTACGATCGAATGAAAAACATATGACGCTCAACAATGGGATGAATTGTGTATAATCCAAAGAGGAAGGACCACAACATTAGTGTACTTACTTTTGTGTTAGTTGAATTTCAAAGACTCCTTTTGATTCGAATGGGCAACACAATTCTGTTTGAAATTCTTACGCTCTTGCAATCGCGAAATTATGCGAAAAAGGAAACAAAAAATAATGTCACTCGAATAATCAATTCAATGGATTAGGGCATTTCCAAGAACGAAAGTGGCGTTTAACCACATTCATTTGAATTTCGAATCGTTTCTCAGGTAGCAGCAGCTGTAGAAGCAAAAAAAACTGCGTTCAACACGATTGCCCCTTTTCTAATATGCACAAGTGACATTTTCCGCCAGTTGACTTCTCCTTTGAAATATTAATTAAAGTACCTGTTATAGTTTTATGCATTCTAGCACAGAAAAATATATAAACTAAACTCTGTGTGACTTGACTTTCAGGCGATGTGAAATAAAAATCACCTACTTGAAAATCCCGTGAGGTGAAAAAACTCCATAAACTTTGGATAGAAGAACTTTCATTCCGAAGCGATAACAAAGTTTCATTCATTTTTTTTTTTTTGAATTTGGTTTCGCTGAAGTGGTCTCTTCTGATTGTGTTGAGCAGAAAATAAAAGCTTTTGAAGTTGAAGAAGAAGTTTCAGTTTTGTTGAGGATTTGTGGATTGAATGACACAATGCTGTCTCTCTTCCTTGTAATCCCCGCTAAATCCGATAAACCAAAAAGCTGCTTCGAACGTCATCACAATAACGGCTACACATTGTTCCATAATAATGTGACGTTGAAATGGGAACACAATGTGTACGCCATTGTGTGTTGGTCGCAGTGTACTAACCAAAATGTAATTACGATAGAAAATTGCAAATGAAGCATAAACTTCGGCTGTTTGCTTCATATTTATTCCTTTGCTTCCCGTTGTGCTGCGTACATAATAATTTGCCCCATCTGAAGGCCAATTGAATCGTTACAATAACATATTTTATTATCCGTTCGCTTTCTGTCTTTCCAAATGTATTCACAGGTTTCGGACGATCGCAATAATAGAGTGTCACGATACGTTGGTTTTTCACCCCATCGATTTCGTGGCGGTACATCAATTCGTAGAGAACCTATAACAAATTAGTGTTTTTAAAATCAGAGAAGCTTCACCAAACTGCCGTAAACATGATTAATTTAGCTGGCGTCGTGAGTATCGTCCTATTTTATCTACTTATTTTGGCTGTTGGAATATGGGCTGGTCGAAAAAAGGAAGAAGGAAATGATTCGGAGGAAGAGGTTATGTTGGCTGGTCGTTCGATCGGTTTGTTTGTCGGCATCTTCACCATGACAGGTAATTTCATTTCATTTGCAGCTCAAAATTAAAAATGCATTTCCACTTCGACAAATTAGACGACAGGATGGAGAGCAAATGGGCAGCCAAACGGATTGGAACTTCTGAATAATTTTCAATGTAGTCTGCCTGTTTGACATCGAAAATAAATGGACATTTTCCGTTCGGATTCAGTCAAGAGAAAGAGCAACACATTAATGTAATTGATTCTGTTTGAAGTTGAACTGTTCACAATATGTGTGCATGAATCCATTTGTGCCAAAGCAAATGAAGTACTACAAATATTTACATTATCCTCTTATGGTTACTTTGGTGGGAGGTGACAACGATGCATGGAGATTGCGAACATTGAAATTTTCATTGGAACAAACGAAAAACCTTTCGCAATATCAGAAGAGCGTATACATGTTAAATAATTGACAATGCAAACAACAGCGACACACACACAAATAAATGGATACAATTTTTATTTTCACTTCTTGAGTTTCAACAAATAAATTTCACCAACTTGAATTGCAATGTGCTCTGTCTCTTGGTTTGTGACCATTTCGCATTTATTTTTGTAGCAACTTGGGTCGGTGGTGGTTATATCAACGGTACGGCTGAGGCAATTTATACGTCTGGCTTGGTTTGGTGTCAAGCACCATTCGGTTATGCATTGAGCTTGGTCTTTGGTGGCATATTCTTTGCAAATCCGATGCGAAAACAAGGTTACATCACGATGTTGGATCCATTACAGGATTTATTCGGCGAACGAATGGGCGGTTTGCTATTTTTGCCAGCGCTATGCGGTGAAGTATTTTGGGCGGCTGGTATTTTAGCGGCACTGGGTAAGTGTTTGTGTTGTCTCATCACTGTCTAATTTTTCGACATTAATTTGTTTCTTAATTTGCCCATTTCGTACAACAATAAAAATCCGACGACAAAATGAATTAGGTGCTACACTTGCTGTTATTATCGACATGGATCATCATACGTCGGTCATTTTATCGGCAATGATTGCCGTATTCTATACGCTGTTCGGTGGCTTGTATTCCGTTGCCTATACCGATGTCATTCAATTGTTCTGTATATTTGTGGGTCTGTGGATGTGCATTCCATTTGCATGGGCCAATGATCATGTCAAAAGTTTGAGTTCCATGGAGGTCGATTGGATTGGCGAAGTTGATCCGAAAGAGCAGTGGTTTTATATTGACTATGGTTTGTTGCTCATTTTTGGTGGCATCCCATGGCAAGTGTATTTCCAACGGGTGCTATCGAGTAAAACTGCCGGACGAGCTCAACTCCTATCGTATGTTGCCGCATTTGGTTGTATTCTAATGGCCATCCCACCGGTTATGATTGGAGCTATTGCTAAAGCAACACGTATGTATTTTCTCTATACGCCCCAATCTAAATCCTTGGCCCAAATTTTTCTTGTCTCAATATTTAATTTTCTATGCCATATCCATTCTGTAGCATGGAATGAGACGGATTACCCGGGTCCTTATCCACTGACGGCCGATGAAACGAGCATGATTTTGCCAATGGTTCTGCAATATCTAACACCAGACTTTGTGTCATTCTTTGGATTGGGCGCTGTTTCGGCGGCTGTCATGTCATCGGCCGATTCATCGGTGCTTTCAGCCGCTTCGATGTTCGCGCGCAACGTCTATCGTCTCATTTTCCGACAAAATGCATCCGAAATGGAAATTATCTGGGTTATGCGAATTGGAATTTGTGTTGTAGGCGTTTTAGCTACCGTCATGGCGTTAACGATCCCATCAATTTACGGACTATGGTAAATGAAAAGAAAAATCATTTGCGCATAATTCATGTGTAGAGTATATATTAAAATTGATTTTTACTGTACCTTTTCCACCATCAGGTCTATGTGCTCTGATTTAGTTTACTGCATCCTATTCCCACAGGTAAACATAATAAATTATTTAAACATTAAAGTTTTCCGCTTCGTGCTGTTTTTTTTCGCTCAATCTAATAAATAAAGTTCTTTCGAGCATAAAAAGCGTCCATTAAATATTTAATTAAATGGCTACTTTTCCCAAAACACTCCGGAACTCATTGAATTTTGATTCATAATATATTTCAGCTGTTGATGGTTGTTCATTTCAAACACCATTGTAACACGTACGGTAGTTTGGCAGCGTATATAGTTGGCTTTGCGGTGCGATTATCCGGTGGCGAAGCATTGATCGGTTTGCCAGCTCTCATTCACTTTCCCGGCTACGAAGAAGAGACCCAACGTCAACTGTTTCCATTCCGAACGATGGCTATGCTGTTGAGTTTGATTACGCTGTGGGGTGTTTCGGAATACACGAAATTCATGTTCGAAACTGGTCGTTTGGCACCACAATACGATTACTTCAGGTGTGTGGTGAATATTCCGGACGATGCAATTCGTGTTGGTGATCCATCTGAAGTTGGCGAACAGGTGAGTTTTACACTGTGTTTTTACACACAAATCAAAATTTCGATCTTAAGCATGGAATCACACACATCAACAATGCCAATACTTTTTCAGATGCACGTTATGGCTGGTCCAATGTCAAAGATCTGCAATTACGCAACAATGGCCGGAAAAGATGAGATGAATGGACGCATCAATCCGGCCATGGAAATCGATGATGATTTACCAGCTGCCGAAGCGGAACGCAATCGAAAAATCGTTGAAGATGTGAAAAAGAGAGTTGCCGCATTGCCACCGACTACAGAAGGAAACACAAACTTCTAAAGAGCTTTCGTTTACATACCCCCAAAACAATTTATTCTATCGATTTTCGAAGTTTCCAAACCCGAAATAAACATATCATGTATCAGCTCTTTTGATTTTGTAGCAATAACGGATCCATATATACTCAATAGAACACATCTAAATCACACTCAGGTTCAAATTGATTATCACATCAAATCATATATAGTCAAATGAAATGAAGAAATTTAGCGAAAAGAAAAAAAATACAAAGAATCAGTTCAAAACGAACGAATACAACGGGAAGTGGGGCAATAGTCGAATTCAACTTGAGACTCATTGCCTGTGTATACATAGGGAAGAGAGAAACACACACAAACATAGAGAAATACTCACCTAAGCCGTTATCAAATTCTATTGAGTTCATCTCCGACATCGAAGTTGACAGATTTCAGTTTTTTTATTTGTTTGTTTTTTTTTTGTTTTAAAACTGGAAAAAAAAATCTAATGTTTAAGAAAAAAAATGAAACTGTTTTGAATTAAATATATGTAACATGTGTTTCACAAATGAAAATAATAATATTTACAAATGAAATGAGGGAAGAAAAAATGGAAATCTGCAATTATTTTTAAATCTAGTGATAGACAAAGAAAAATCTAATCGAATACATATCATTTTGATGCAACGGAAACAAATACATATCAAAGCATACTATTTTAAATGTACAAAGAACAATACAAAAATAAAGAAGAGAAGAAATAAAAAGGATCGGTGGCTGAAAAGGACACATTCATCTTCTTATGAAGTAAAAATGGATCGAATGAATTTTATTTTTAGAGAAAACGCATAAAGCCGTTTATCAAATCTATTACAAAACAATTGATATTTTTTTAAAAATAATACTCTTTGGTTTTCTCCTTCTGTTCAATTTGAGTTTTAAAGCAAGACAAAGCAAAAAAAAAACAATAAAACCACTGCTCGGAATAAGTATGGAAAGAGGTGCTTTATGTAGATGATTTAACGAAATGTAGGATGCAAATTGATTTGAGTCTGTAGTACTTACCAACAGCAGTGGCTCTACTAAGTTGTTATTGTAATTTTTAGTCATTTAAACAAATAAATAATAATAATATAAAACAAAATTTGATGAGAATAAACAAAAAGAAACACATATCGAATAAAATCCATTAAAAGAACACAATGATCAACTAAAACAACAACAAAATGAAACGTACAAATAAGGTATAGTGAACATATTTTGCAAAAAAGAAATAACTACAAAAAAAATACACCCACACATACAAACACATACATACACATGAATAAGATAAAAATGGTATAATAAAGGTTTTAATTTGTTTTTCGTAAAAACATTCGAATAATATATCTTATTATTAATTTGAGCGAATTAAAGATACAATAAAAAAACAAACAATTGATGATGTTAGCAATGCAACAAAAAAGAATATGTAAACAACACACTATTTAAATGAAACAAAACAAGAACAAAAACAAAAACATACCATGTACGACACATAATGGACACCACGAATGCTTGTCTAGAGAACTGAATATACTAGAATTTTAGATGCTGTTTATTCAATCACAAGAGAAAACTAAATAATTTCTATATATAGGAAACCAAAATTAAAAAACAACAACAACAACCAAAGACAGGAGGAAACACTTGTATAAGTGAACACAAAACAAATAAATAAAATGTATTTACCTGTATACAGCCATTTGGATCGTTTTTCAACAGAATGATCGCAATTACAAGGAGTATATATATTATTATATTATAGCATAACAATTATAATTATTTGTTAATAAGAATTATGTGTAAATGGTATCTATATATATATCTATATTTAATGAAAAAAAAAAAACGAAAGTAAATTTCAAAATTATTTCCAATATGACTGCGGTGCGTTCGATTTTTGTTGTGAGTTTTCCTTTGACACTTCGTATTCCTTGTGAATGCTTGAGTTTAGAAATGAGACACACCAACAATCGAACGCTACGACAGTCATTCGCGTCAACATTTAAGATAAACATGACAAATGCATATCAAATTGTGTCCTTCCAAGCAAATTCATCAACATTTAGTGAAGACGAATAGATAAGAGAGAAATATACCCAACAAAAGTCAATAAAAATAAAGAAAAGCACACAAATACACACACAAGTAGGGTTTACAAACGTTTCGACAAATACCGCAAACGGTGTTATAAAAACGTTATTTTTCTGTAGTGTTTTTTTTGACAGTCCAAAATACCGCAGAAATAACGATAAAAAACGAAAAAAACGTTTTTTGGGCGGTATATAACGGCTCTGTAAAAAAACGTTTTTAAGAAACACTGAAAAAAATAACGCGTTTTTAAACCCTACACACAAGTAGTGGAAAAATGATGCTGAAAACGTTAGGAAATGAATTGTTTGTGATTATTTATCGCCATTAAGTTCAAAAATAGCAATATTCTGTGTTTGTAAATGAGTATGGATGGATGGATAGGGAACGTGCGCGCGTTTGGCAAATGTGTCCGAACAAAGTATGCTTAATCAAAAACCAAAAACAAGAAAAAATCATGGCGCATGCACGTTGTTTATTGTATGTTGAAAATAAATGATCTCATATTTTTCATAGACCAGTCTCTCTCTCACACAGACACACATACACATACACACACACACACACTGCGAACGAAATATGCGTGACGGGTATATGTTGAGAGGAGTCTCAATTAGAACAAAATCAAATATGCTAGAGAGTAATGTGTGCGATGAATTGGAAATTGGCAAATTTCGATCGAAAGCGACTTGTTGTTAGCGTAGATTTCCTTGCCATCGTCACACCGTGCCCGGTTTTTTTTTTGTTTCTGTTGATTCTACTTGAGAGGACAATGTAATGAAAATATATAGAAGAAAATTATATTTTTTTCTGCTTACGTCACATGTATACCAATATCGCCGTTTTTCTCTATTTACTAGCGAATTATCATTATGTTTGGTTTTACGCTGTTATTGACAATTTCAAAGGGGTAACGGTACTTACCGAATACAACCTTGATATGATCGGCATGGAAAAACAACAACTATACATACTAAATTCCATATAGTGTTCGACCATGCTCATTCAATGCTGATATTTAGCGAATACCCAAAGTAAACAGCTCGTTGATTCCCACATTAATTTGCAAAATGATCAAACTAAAAATGATTTAGACTAAGTCTAGTGTAAAAAAAAGACACACAACACAACAACAACAACTTAATATTCAGAAAATAGTAAATCAATAAAATCAATAAAGTAATTGAAGTGAACATAAGTTTATCATTATTTAACAAACAACATAAACACCTATAAATGTGAGCATATTCGAAACATATCATTAATAAATAATTTAATGTCAAAAAAGAGGAAAAAATCTAAAGTGAGAAAAAACACACCTTTGAAAAAAAAGAAGACATGTCAAATAAAACAGACACAACCAAAAAAAAATACTCCCAAAATACAAATTATTATATGAATGTTAAATTATGTTTAAAAAACCCTCTATTGAACAAAAAAAAAAGTGACTCCGTTTAACCTAAATAAGATGTAAACAGATAAAAACAAAATCCTTGTAACATTTTTTCCCCCGGAAACTCTATCAAAATGTGGTTTGTTATCAATTCTATCTTTGGGTTTAAGAGATAGAATCGACTACGAATTATAGTTTTCGCCTAAGGCCATGATAGATTAATATATTCAAACAATTTTAAAGAAGAAAAAAAAACAATTAAATTTATTTGTCTTGTTGTTAAAGTTGCTTTAATCGGCACACATTACTCACGTTACTTCTACCCGTTGAGATGTAAATTGGCCGTACATTCTTCTTCTTATAGTCTATATTTTGGTCGACATTAAAATGAGATCATCTTCTAGATGTCTTCTATCAAATCCATTGAAGAAAAAAAATTAGAATCAACATTGCACACTTTGATGTATTTAGTACATCGAATGATACTACACGCAATGGATCTCTACTGAAACAAAAAGCATAGCAAAGTCATACATATCGCTCAATTTCAAAAGCAAACAATTTTTTGGGTTTTCACAAATTAATCGAAATTAGTTTTTTGGTTGAGACTTTGTGTCGCACAATTCGGCGTTTCTTGAGCGAAATTAATCGTTATTCGTCTTATCTACAACCCATTTTCAGCTAATCACCACCAACACCACTACCATCCACATTTTGTACACAATTTACATCTTGGCTCGTAGAAGACAACCCCATAATTATTGTGATATTAATTTATTGTATACAGACAACTACGTATGGCAAAATACTAATGTATGTGTGTCTCTATTTCTGGCAAATCGATGGGTATCCTCGGCCTCCCCCTGACTCAACGAAAACGACCACAACAAGCACACCAAACAATCGAAGAAAAAAAAATCATTTGAATTTACAACACATTGCCAAATGAAAAAGACATCAAAGCGATTAAACACCCACACTGGTTACACGAAATTGTTGTTACGGGGACAACGAAAGAAACATTGCTTTTATTTGCTTCGAATATTCATGATAACAAAACCAAACAATTTCAAACTCATCAACAATGAAAAACCAAAAGAAAAAAGGCCGAAGCAAAAGAATGGAGAGAACAAAAATAGAAACAAATGTTATCGAATTCAATTTAATCTGATATATTATAAATGGATTATGTTGGAGAGAGAACAGAGAGCAAACACACACGATTTGCCCCCGAAATCAATTACAATTACAATATCTATTATAAATATTACAATGTTTATGAATGTATTCAATGGAAAAATATATTGTTTACATATAAAATATTATTTAAATGTTCGAACGGCCTTCAAAAAAGCATTGATTTTTCTATCATTCCCGCACACTTTCTCTATATCTCTCTAACACACTTTTAGCACCCCATAATTTGTACATGCAGCAGGTGAACGGATTCATTGTTCTAATTGACGGGTTGGTTGGCTAGATGGAATTTAGTGAATGTAACAAATGATTCCATGAGAATGTTTGTTATCGTTTCAATCGGTTTCATCAGCTGTGGAAAACAGGAAGTCGTCACGGAACTCGATAATTTGGGATCATGTACGCAAAGCTATGCCCACCAAATTACACTGACCAACCGAATGACTGATGGCAATTCTTCACATTTCTCCGTTCCACTCAATTTACATATAACTTTCCTGCTGTGTCGAAGGCATTGTCGTTGAAAAACAAAAATAAATAGACTCTATAGTTGGACACACACACACACACACATGTACAAAGCAAATGGTCATAAGTCATGCAGCGATTATAACACACAGCCAAAGATCACGGAATGTGCGGTGTACGCGATACAAAATGTCAAATGACACTATGATCTATAGGTTAAATGTAGTTTTCATCATAAATTCAATTGCAGTCTTGTTTTTTTCTTCGTGCTATTCTCTAATCTTTGGTGTTTCGATGCGAAAATGATTATCATTTGCAGTGATTTATCATTTGCTTTCAAAGATTACGTGTCTTATATAAAGCCGAATTGTAAACGAAATGAACAGAAAAAAAAAATCCAAACCAAACAACAAATTCAACATTTGATATCGAATAAAACTGGTAGTCATCTTCATTCCAATTAGACAGGAGGGAAAACAACTACAACAACAGCAACAACAACACACCAACAAAAGGTTTTGACATTTGGCCTAATTTTCATGTAATTACACTTGATGTTTGAGTACGCGTTCGTGCATTTGTTCACCGCCAAGCAGTTGATTTGAAAACTTTTTAATTAATTAACATCAGTCGTTCAATTTGATTGATCTTTTTTTTCATGTGAGTGTGTGTGTTTAACAGGCTCTGTAAGCGTGTTGAAGTGGGAGGAAATTGTCTCGAGCGCACAACAGCATATGCATGTATGTGAAATATAATGGCAAATATGAAGAAAAAAAAATGAAAATGAAAAACAACAAATAAAAACAAAATACACGTGTCCATGTAAATGTTATTGAATAATTTAATAACGTACTAATGTGTGAATGAAAATGTCTGGCATGGCGCGAACGCACACGGCACACGGTATCGAGACAACGCGGTGAAAAGATACGTGAAGTTAAAACATAAACATTATATTTGATCACTTTCGGTTTCATCAGCCAAACATATCAAGCAGATGCAGCAGCTTCAGCACGATTCATTTGTCGTAATTCGTAAAACTGGCATTGAGCGACACACACACACACACATACACCGTGCGCGAATGAAGTGGTAAAAGCGCAACTGACACATTCATACAAACGATACGCGCGCGCACCAGAGCAAAGAGAAAAAAGCAGCATCAGCAGCAATCTGCACAGCTATTTTGTCGTGAATTGTTTTCAACTTGTGAATATAATCACATCGCATCTCAATCATTATCATATATCCATTGTTATTATCTACTTCGTTGCAACGGAGCGAACAAAAAAAAACAAAAATAAAACACACGCACTCACCATTGCATGGCAAACTGAAAGATGTGACGGTTAAAACACGTACTTTACAGCGATGGGATTCTATTCCTTTCCCTCTGTCAATGGTGTGGGTTGTATCAATCGAAATGAAGGTCTAGAACTATAGAACCAAATGTGGTTAGTAAACCACTTTGCCACCCACTATCATCAGCCGACTAAATGGGATGTAGACTTTGAAGTACCGTTCTGCAATAAACAACAAAAAGGTCACAAATTGTGAATCACAATTTTACGCTGTTAGTTTTTCTCTACCACCAAAAGTGTACTCTTTTCGAATAGCATACCGCAAATTATAAGGGTTCCGGCTTAACCATATTCTGACTTCATTTATTTCGATTACGTTTGACTTCATTCGAGTTGTGGGTTGACGTCTCATGGACGGTTAAATGAAAATCCAATGCAAACCCAACTTTATCAAATGGTGACAACATGTAACTATGTTACTGCGCTGTGTGAGTTGAAAATTTTGAAATTTCGTGGAATTTATTCATGAAAACGGTGCACACAGAACGTAATGTAACGTTTTAGCTGAAAGACAATTAAAATGTCAATATTCACTTTTGTCAAGTGAATCTAATAAAATATGAATCGGATGCTCTTCATGGAAAATCGTATAAGTCTAGCTGTGTGTGTGTGTGTGTGTATGTGCGTTTGTTTGTTTTCTTCTTCTTCAAAGAATTCATTTGCATTTGGATGTGTGGTTCTTGTAGTGACTTTGATTTGTTACAATATGTTCCAGAAATGAATATTTAATAAAATAATGGTTCTATTGCTAAATTCCAAATAACAATGCCGCATATCTGCAAATGAAGTATGTAATTTTGGGATTTCTCAATTTGTTGAAATTGCCGGTTCCCACATCTCCATCATCATCATCAGCGAACAGTAGTGTGCGCCATATAGGCTTGATAACAACAAATGAAATAATTATTGCAATCTCGTAAGAAAATTTCAGCAGAAAAAAATCAAATAAATTATTCGATTTATTCTCGAAATAGTTCTTTTTGTGCAACATTTATGAATGTAAATGTCAGTTGCTAAACCAAAGGAATAATAATAAATGCTACGATTAGGAAATAATGTCATAACCCAAAGCTAACTCAAACCGATTGACGTTTATTGTTTTCTACGACAAGTATGACGACGATGAGCAGAATGAAGCTGATTTCCGTTTGCCATGCAGCGGTTTAATACAACATGTGTACATATTAATGTATATAATATGCAATGATAATGTAATCATTTTCACTCTTCATGCGCGCGAGCGCACTCTCTCGCATTGTGATAGCTTACAATAGAAAAGAAATGGTGTTTCGAGGCATTACCATCATTTGCCGCTGTTATATGTTCGCGTCATTTGATTGTTTGAGATGAAATCATCGCGATAATATTCTGCAAACGAAAGTTCAAGCAACATGAATAGAGCACACTGTAGCATTTGTTATTTTCTCATATTTATATCTCTGTTTCTGCTGAGCATCTTCGTGCCCATTCCTGCTGCGCAAGCGCTCAACGATACATGTTCATCACATTTTTTCAAAATCTCGATAAGTTCATGCTCGGCTATTGCTGCTGTGGTTGTTTTTGTAGTAAATCTCCGTGAAAATGAACATTATGAACGAAGCTGTGCTGTGCGGTAGCAGCGTTAATTTCAATTGTAATTGGTTACGGCATCAGACGAAAAACACAGTGGAAAATAAATATATAATTCGAGTGTATCTTGTGGTTTTCATCATCAATATAATTTTTTTTTTATTTCATTGAGTATTTTTGTTTGTTTTTCACCATTTTTTTTTTCATTTTGTAAAAACAGTTAGAGCATAATAATATACAATAAAATTTATATTTGTACAATTTTTTCATTCAAAACTTTTGTTCAAAAAAAAAAAAATTATCAATCAGAGATTCGTAAAATTGAGAGAAATTTCACGTATGCGCTAATGAATAATTCACAAAAATTAAAACATGAAATATGAAACATAAAATAATTTAAATACAAATGGAGATTGTTTTTCCCGTTCATACCAGCGGCTGGTTTGTCGTTTCCTGGTCGGTTGATCGTTGATTGCTGTTTGTTAGCTGATAAAAGCGGAGCAATGAGACATAGTGAGAAAAGGGAGAGAGAGAGTGAGGGCGTTGCGGAATCAAGGAGAGAGAGCAAGAAGTTTGATATACGTTAAAAGAAGCCAATGGATCAGCAGTTAATGTCGAATAAGGCACTTATGATTAAAATTATACTTCAGTTTCTTTTCGCATGCCTCCGATCGTTGTGTGGTCGTGGTCGTCAAGTGCATAACATAAAATGGTAGCAGCATTTTTTTCGTTCGGTTTGTTTGATTGGTTTTTTTTGTCGGTTTGTTCGTGTTTTGAAAACTATAATTTTAAAAGAAACCAAATGCAACTATTGAAGCGATCGACCGTTTAGTATTGGTAGCCGCCGTTTGGCGCATACTGCTGTGAAATTGTTGGAGGCACTTGACCGCTTCCTCCAGGTCGTCCTGATGGATAACCTCCAGCAGAGCCAGAGCCAGAACCATGACCGCCACCAAAACCGCCTTGTTGAGGTTGTGGTGGCCCGTACTGTTGGGTTGGTGGTTGTTGTCCGAAACTGCCGCCGCCTTGTTGCGATGGAGCTGAAATCAATCGATTTTGTTGAATATTTTCATTTATAATTAGTAACAGCGAATTCAAATGGAAGAAAACAAAACGATCGAACAGAACACTCTGCTTCTCGAATTTTGTTAGTTTATTACAAAGGGATGTGCTGCTCTTGAAGAGTAGCACACCATGGTGTATCGCAGCACGTTTTTCATAAAATAACAAAGATTTTTTTTCGTGAAATTTTGGATTTGAATATCAAATCAATCAGAAGTATTTCTTCGAAATGTTTAAACTTGTTGATAAATCAAAAAGGAGTTATTTTTTACCTTGACCTCCTGGTCTACCTGATGGATAACCATGGCTGCCACCGTGACCTCCGCTTCCACCGAATCCTCCTTGTGATCCACCAAATCCATGACCATTCGCTGGTCGTCCTGAACTGTAACCATTTGAGCCACCTTGACCTATTTTTGAATAAATCGATTAGACGGTTAAAATTACACACTCACATGAAATCAACTGAAGTATATATCTTACTAAATCCTGGCGATGAAGATTGCTGGGGCGGACCATAGCTACCAGATGGGGTTCCTATACATTTCCATTTGAAATAAATTTATTATGGTGAGACAATGACTTTGATCTTCTTATTGACAAAATTCAGTTTCGTGATTGAAAACCAATACAAAAGTTAATGCGAAATTAGAAAAATATTCTACCAAATCCGGGTCCTTGTTGCTGTTGTTTAGGTGCGCCGTAGCTGCTTGGGGGAACACCACCTCCTACAGTCAATAAAATATATTTGAATATACATTTTTATTTTTTATTCTAAAGAAAAAAAAATACCGAATCCTGATCCCTGTTGTTGTTGAGGTACGCCAGCATAGCCGCCTGAAGGTGCTGGTGGAGCTAAAATTGAAAATTGTAATTGTTCGTTTTATAAACCGATTTCGGAACGGTTTCACTGCCATGCTCTCTGTTCATCGGAGCAAACCGTATCAAGCGGAACGTTCTGAGAATGGTTTGTATGAGAAACGTTCAAGCGTGTTGTCACTGTGTTAGTATTGTATACACACTCAAACCAAATATTCGGTTTGGTTTGGTTTGGTTTCTATCCCTGCTTATAAATCAATTCTTCTTACCCAATCCTGGTGATGTACGGTCTGGAATTCCGTAGCTAGTAGCTATAATAGTTGCCAAGATATATTCACATCATTATAAGAATCATTTGATTTGCGTGAAATGCATTCGACTTGCCTGGTGGTGAGAATGTTTGTCTTGGAGCTTGTGGTTGTTGTCCAAATCCGCTACTACCGCCGAAACCTCCCTGATTTCCACCGAAGCTGCCTGATCCTTGATTTGGATTTGGAACACCATACTGGTTTGATGGTTGAGATGGGTATCCGCCTGGTGATCCTCCTCTTGGGGGTCCATATTGTTGTGCTATTTGAAAAACGGACATTATATGAAAAGAATAAAAGTGGATATGCCAACGACAAAATTACATGGTTGTTGTCCGAATCCGCCACTGCCACCGAAACCTCCCTGATTCCCACCGAAGCTGCCTGATCCTTGAATTGGATTTGATGGTTGAGATGGGTATCCTCCTGATGAGAGACACAAAAGAGCAATGTTATTACTGCGGCAGTTTTGGTTTCAAATTATAAACATTTTTTTTTATCAAACATTTCCTCACCTTGGCCACCTGGTCTGCCTGATCCTGGATATCCTCCGGCACCTGAGCCAGATCCTTGACCGAAACTACCTCCAAAGCTGCCTTGTGATGATGGTGGTGCACCATATTGTTGTTGCACCGAAGGTGGTTGTTGTCCAAAATTGCCGCTACCTCCTCCGTTTTGTGGTGGGAAGTTTCCTGATGGTGGTGGAATATAGCTGCTGCTGCTGCTGCTTCCACCTACAATCATTCAGTATATATGTAGAAAAAGAAACATATATAAATGAGTTACGACAAAATTACCTTGACTAGGTGGGCCATATTGATTGCTGGGCTGCTGTCCAAATCCACCACTACCGCCAAAACCTCCCTGATTTCCACCAAAACCACCTGATCCTTGATTTGGAGCACCGTATTGGGTGCTGGGCTGCTGTCCGAATCCGCCACTACCGCCAAAACCTCCCTGATTTCCACCAAAACCACCTGATCCTTGATTTGGAGCACCGTATTGAGTGCTGGGCTGCTGTCCCGACGACGATTGTTGAGGTGGCAAATATTGACGATTTGGTGATGCAAATGGTGCTACGGCCACACAAAGAGAAATCATATTGGTATGGTTTCGTTTCGAGATTTTTTTGTTGTTGCAAAATTACTTACCATCTCGCTTTTTATGTCCAGCGGCAAGAGCGAATCCCAAGCATAATAAAAGTACTAATAATTTCTGAACGAGATAAAAAAAAATCATCATTAATTTGAATTCGCGAGGTCGAAATACAATGAAAGTGAAAATGGTGAAAAAAAAAGTGAAAGAATCGAGATTTGTGTGCATTGGAAGCACACGTTAACGGGTATTATAGTTGATACACACAATATCTTATATCTTTTTAACTATCCCGTTGTCAAATTTCGCGAAAATGAAAATTTAATGGAACCCACAACGAAATGAAAATTGATCAATAACCATGCATAACGAAGAAATGATTCCGATTCGACTTAAAATCAGTACCAAATTTCGAATGTGTCTTTGATCGACTTAAACAAAAAAAAATTACATTTGTATATGTAGTAGACGTTACCTTATTTATGTGTGCCTTCATGGTGAGTTTGATACGATAAATTACGCTGTGCTAGAAATTGTTGTTTTACTTTGACCTGTAAATAAATACAAGAATATGGCTCATTAAATAATTGTAATTTCATTGAGACGCAATGAAGTGTTTTGTGAAAATTCGAAAGACATGATGGAAAACAGCAACGTTGACGACGATGACAGCGATGACAACGACGACAATGTGCATAGAGAAAATGGTAATAAATGGCCAATTCGCTTCACGCCGCAATGAATACGCTTCGGCGCAATTCCCATTGAATAGAAACAGAGAGAAAGATACAGTCAAAGTAAAAGAAGAGGTAGAAAAAAAAGTTCGCAGGGAAAATAAACACTTCTCAAGCCTATGCGCATTGAATCGATTGACATCAAAGATAAATCGTCGGAAAACAAACAAACATGTAAAACATAGTGTAAGTACAGGCACTCCAATGCAAAAAGAAAAACAACAGCAACAATAACGACAAATGTAAAACTTCGTACACAATCGATTACCATCCGAAACAACAATTTCCTGTGCAACACAATACATAATGCCATACGTAACGACGACACAACGATATGTGACTGTATCATTTGAAGAAAGATGCAAAAGAGGCACACACAAATATTCGCCCATTATGTGATTCATTCACACAGAGCGCGAATAATGCGCTTGCCATTGGCCCGCTAAGCAGTCAGCTGAACGTTGATGATGACGATGACGACGACGACGACGACGAAAAAGAAGAAAACGCTACGCAAAAACGTGATTCAAATCTTTGCTCTCTGCCAATACGCATGACCATTTGACTTTGTTTTCGTGGTTCAATGTTTGTTTCATTCATTGAATTCGCTTGCTTTGAATGGATCAAGATCTCTAGCCAAGTGCCAATACTTCAAACGGTATAGACCGTTTGTACGATTCGTGTACACGCTTCGAGTATAATAACCTTAAACAATTTGAATTTTTTTTCTCCTTCTCTCTTTCTCTCTCTTTCTATTCTGCGTAGCTTCTCGTGTGCGGTAGATATTGTTTGTGCATCGTTTTTTCGTAGTCTTCGACGTCGTCGTCGTCGTCTTCTTTTTTGCGCTGTTAACCGTTACAATGTCTAGCCAGGCCAAGCCACACAAAAATAAATGACTAAACACATTTTATTGGTGCGGTTCACATCGCGAATTGTCTTCGTGTGCTATGTCGCGGGCTAACCATCTATATGATTTGGCGAATTTTATTTTCACCGCATCACAAAAAAAAAATCTAAACTGACTTGAATAAACTCATGCAATCACTATTAAATTCACCGCGAGCGCGCGCGCACGCACGCACACACATATATGCCGACTCTCAGTTGCATCTGACAATGTTGATTTGCCGCAAACAAAACGGCACGTAAATCAGCGGGAATTATGATCATCACGTGAAATTTCCTATCGGCTTCTATTTTGTTTTCCGTTCATTTTCGTCGTTTCGTTAAGGTTTTCAATTTGAAGGAATGTAAATGGGAAATTCGGACAAATTGTGTTGTTGTGTGAAGAAGAAGAGGAAAAAAAACGTTAAAGGGTTCAATAGCTTGGAATTGATTTCTAAATCAAATGCCATCAACGTTTGTTTGTTTGTTCGCTTGCAAACATTGATTGCTGTGTGAATGTTGTGTCACGAATTTGAAACACAAGCGCCAACAGGATAAATGAAATTTCTTTTTGTTTATTTCGTTTTTGGTATTTAGTTTCTCATTGCATGAAGTAACGATCGAGTATAATTGAAGAATGTCTACTTTATCTCCCAATCGCTTTTTGCAAAGATTTTCGTTTTTAAGTTTGTTTTTTTTTCTCTTCTCCTGCTATCCGGTTGTTATTCAGTCATTCAATGAGTCAATCAATGATCGAAAACACAAAGCGACGGATTGCAATTATCAGCATCAGCAACGGAACACTACTGATTTGCTTGCAAAATGCAACACTTAACAGTCCATCAACAAATATAGCACGATAAAATTGCCAAGTCATCTATGGTAACTTTTGATTTGTTGCACTTTTCACACTTTGTTTCTCTCAAGCGAAAAAAAAAATCGAAAATTTCGAAAAAAAAGTGTTTGAAAATAAAGATGATTTTTAACAACTAACCGTTGAACAAAATTCGGTCTTTTTTTCGGTTTTATCGCAACGAATAAATTGAATACAACTTGCTCAAAAACTGTTGGTTAGAGCCAATCCGTGTGTTTACTGAGCTACCCAAATTATTGAGACGATGGGAAGGCAGTGAATGATGGCTGTTAAGGTTCAGTTTATCTTTATATACCAAAATTTGTGCTAAACAGCCGATCAGTTTCCCTTTCATCTACGTACATTTTTTTTGGTATGATCAACGAGTGTATATCAATTTGTTTTGAATCTGTTACTAGTGTTTTGTTTCTTCTTCATTCGTTCGCTTCTTTTTCCTCTCTATCTAAGCACAACAACAAGCGGAGAAGAAGAAAAATACGATACGAACACATACACATACACATTGAACGCAGGTAGTTTTTGAATGCAGAAAAAGACTACGCGAATACCGTAAGCACCACACAATTTGATATTGTTTCTAAGAATGAAGCAGTTGTGTGTTTGTGTGTGTGTGTGTGTGCACACGATCGACATGTGCCTCTTGCTGATGCGCGAGGGCTTTAAGCATATTTGATTGTATTGTTGCCATTTTTCCCGATGTTCATTCACAATCTCGCAACGGAAAGCTGATCCACAGCGAAACACCACAAGCATGAAAAGAAAAATAGCAACACCAACAACAACCGCGGAAAAAATCCCTCCAATTTGCTGCTTTAGTTTTCATTTGGTTCACCATTTACAGTAGCCATAGCGCACGTAGTGTACTGATCGGTGGAAGTGAGATGGGGCGATGCTATCGGCGTTGGTGCCGATTTAAATCTGGTGAAACGTGAAGTGCGTGCATTCATGAATCCATTTGAAATCGTCATGAATCTTGATCATCTCACTCTGAACGCATATGGCAAATGATGCGCGCAACAATGGCAAAAATAATTAATGATGACATATTTTATGTGTGCGCTCTGAGTGCTGCCATTGTCGTGGCGTGTTGGTATACGTTATTAATTGGGTGCACAATGTTGCTTTTTTCTCTTTTATCGTGATTGAATTTTGAGTGATTCAATTTGCAATTGAATGCTGTTTTTTTTCTTCTTCTGTTACCAGTCAGCCCGAGATGATGGTGTGAGCAAGATTGAGGAGATTGTCAAAGCCATTTGATCGTGTGTGGCCTCATCAAATTCGAATCTTTCAATTTTGGCTTATGATTTTGATTGAATGGAAAAAAATATGTGCAATTAGCTATTTGCACTGTGATTTGTGCGCAGGCGCACAATGAATGTAGATCCTTGTACAAAAACCGAAATGATCGATCCAATCATAGTTTTCACACTCGCTGCTATTTTGCAACTGCAATCGAATGCAATGCTATGTGGAAATATGCGAATTTCGTCAATTGGCCAGCCTCCGTCACACACAAGGAAGTGCTATTCAAATTCGTAACAACAACTGATAAATGACTAACATCAAAGCCAATGTATAATTGCTAAGTAATGCGCCTTGTGTTTTTCTTCTTCTTCTCTACTTCTTTTCATTCTCGAGTATATAGTATCTGGATGTATTGATGGTTTATGATTTATGTTTATAGTTCTATTATTGGGAATGCAGACATAAAATCGCAAACTGTACTCGTAGTGTCATCATCATCGTCACACATTTCGAATGTTACGCAAAAGTAAGTACACTTAGCCGCAATGCTGCCAATGCTATTTGGGCTTGATTTTTTTTCTACTACTTCTTCGTCGTTGCCCGCTGCTGCAGCGGCTGTGGCTGCTGCTTCTTTCTCGTTCGTTCCACGATTGTGAAGATCGAAAGTCAATTAGCAAAGATAATCCAGCATAGCGAAAGATGCATATGAGAATGTGACTCGTGGAGCATTGTACAAATTCCTTTTGCAACCGAAAAAATTGAGTGTATAAATGTGTTTATTTAGTTGTTTCTTTTTTCTTGCCTATTGTAAACGGGCTACGGTAGAAAACGTGAAAAATTTTAGTCGTGGTCTACATGCATTCGTACTCATTTTCAGTCGTTTATTTCAAAATGGGTTTTTGAGCAACACCGACAAATGATTGGGAAAAGCAATCAAATGGAATCGTTTGTCGTGTAACGGCCAACACAACAGACGACAACGGGGACATATTTCTTAGTGAATGGATCGCGTGAACTCATTGCGTTTTATTGTTCCAAAAGCGTGGATCGTCGCAACGTCGATGGCGGGTCGCTGATGAAACGAGGAAATAAAAAAAGGTGGCGTTATTGTGGTATAATTGATGCACATTGAATTGGCATCATTTTGCGCCAAAAATTAAAGTTGAACCGAGGGGTTTTGCAGTGAAAAAACCACATTCAGAGCAAATAAACTTCAACCACTTTTTTTTATTCCTCCCATTTTTGGTTCCATCATCAAACGATAAATGGAATATGTGTGTTCGTACTATAACGGACAAAGAAAGAGAGATTTCATGACAAATCTACCGCATAATTTATTGTCCCTTTTGGCCAATAGAATAAAAATGAAGACAAACACAAAAGAGATTGCCCAATGGAGAGAGAAAAAACAACAACAACAATATGACGATGTGTATTTTCGACGAGGCTGACGTAATAAAACAAAACTGTAACAAGATTTAGATCGATGCCGCGATACAAGAGCCGTACAAATAACGCGTCTGCTTAAGAATTGTTTTGTCGCACTATAGTACCCATGTATGGTAGACTGATAAATAGACAATGATGGTGATGGTGGTGGTGATGATGATGATGATTATGATGATGATGATGATGGAGCCCAATGTTGTGCCCCAAGATCATTCCAGCACATTCGACAAAACACTCTTTCAATGCATACCAAAATGTTAACCAACAAAATTTACTGCGATTTGAATTTTTCTTCTTATTATTATTTTACGTTAATATTTCAATAGGAAATCTGTTTCTTTGTTTAGCGACAACAACGACGGTTACACGTTTTGTCACATTGCGCTAAAAATTTGCTGCCTCATTTTCAGTTAGCAGTCTTTTTTTTTCAACATCACCATCGTCATCATCTTCTTCTTCGCGTCATTCAGTTCGCGCGCGCAGCTCCACATGCATTGTACATATTACATTGATCTGTAAGTGATGATATGGCTTAAAAGAATCGAGAACAAATTACCGTTTGACACAAAATCACGACAAAACACATGATGTTGTAAACGGATGAGGTGGAATTGAAATAGTAACAGCAATAGCGAAAAAAAAATAAAAATCAAACAAAACAAAGAGACGAAAAAGAATTGCAATCAGCACAAATTTTTATGAGGAACATTTTTAAATACAAATTACACACATAAGATTAATTTTGCCTCCATTGCATTATCTCTGTCGCGCGCGCGCGCGCAGTGGCCCGATTGTGCTGCCAGGGCGATATTTTTCTCTTTCCTTCATTCGATTTCGAAAGGTTTCATCAAAAGACGATTCTTTTGTTTTGCGCACCTCGACTTGGAAGGCGCTGTGTATTCATGGCGACGACATCGTGAAATATGATTTTCGATTTGTTTGTTTCGTCTGCGTGATATGTTTGTTGACAAAAAAGCGCCCGTTTATAGAACATAAACCTTCGGGGGTTTCTTCGACTCTGTTTTGGGTGACGACATTCGTGTTTTCCCAAAATCGCATTGAATTTCAATAGAAAATTAATCCGCAATACACAATTAAAGCGTGTATGTTTCATTCCTTTTTTTGTTTATTTGTTTGTTTCTTTGCTAGCTTGCTTTGTTCTCATCGGAAGTTATGATGTCACGACAGTTAAATTTTCTACAATTATGACCACACAAAGCAATGAATTTGGTTACCAATCGCATTTCCTAACAAATATGCCATCAACGTTTGATTCAATGTTTTTTTCTCTCTCTCTCTCTCTCTTCCGATTGTCGTATTCTAGACAAGATTTATTAAGAAACGCTCATATGATATTCGCTTCACACACAGAGATACATTCCTAAATTTTGATACCCTGATGTCATCTTTAATTCAAAAAAAAAAATGCACGCAGCCCACCAGATTTGCAACAACTTGATTGGATTTGCGTGTATGTGTCTCGCAAATGCTAAGGAATGTCACAAACTTATTAGCTTTAGGAACTAGATTCGAAGTCATGTTGGCTGCTATCAAAAATCATGCAAAATGATCGTTGCTCCTTTAGGCGCCAATGAAGCAAAAAATTTGCCCAAAAATGTGTTGTCATGCCACAGTGCGCGCAGTGCAACCAAGGCAAGGCAATGTAAGACGTAAGCAGAAGCAGAACAAATATGCTTGATAGCCCATTAAAATGTTGGCACTTCAGCCCGCCGAAATTGTTAGACGCGCGAAAGACATTTTATCGTCTACACAAGCATTTTAACGGTCAGCGTCAAGTGCTTTTGTTTCATCAACAAACGAACAATTGGCGTTCAGCCAAGTAAGCTGCGAACCGTTAATAAATGTAAACATATCAAATTGATGGTGCTTCATTTAAATTAGATACATTTCTTCAACGCACAATGTCAGACACACAAGTATTTACATGTTCTATGGGCGAGATAGATTTCAGCACATTGCTCTTTTATTTGATGTTTCTCTTCTTACCTACGCACGCTGATCATTGACTGAATTCAAGAAGCATGAATTTGAACGGTGAAGGTTAGATAATGTGAGCGTTTAACAGGTTGAGAAAGGGAATTGAAAAGTGGAGGGAAGATAAAACGCAGACTCACACCGAGTGTTGAATGAAAGAAAAGACTTGAAATCGAATTTGAGATGAACACCGTGAAATTGTGTATGCCAAACGCACATTTTGACCAGCACGCATTTAAAGTGGTTTTACGCGACGCAGCGCAGAATTTTTTTTTACCAAATCTATTGATTGTGATTACGTTTATTTTCTGCAGTTTTTCTTCTTCGTCATCAGCGAAACTATTTACATAATTCATGACGAAAGGATCATCGACAAAAAAATTATCTAATTAAATGAATAAACGTCGTTTTATTGGCAATTGACGATGATGGTGATCTTTTTTTTTCTTCTCTCACAGATCACTGTGGAAATTCAAGCCAAAACAACAAAACGGTATAATGAAAACGAGAGAAGAAAGTCCGATTGAGCGTGCAGAGCAGAGAGAAAGGTGATAAACAAATGAGCGAATCGATAAAATGATTGAAAT